GTTTATTTCTGGTCTCTCTATTCTGTTCCATTGGCCTATGTGTCTATTTTTGTCCCAGTACCAATACTGTTTAGATTTCTATAGCTTTGTAATATAACTTGATATCTGGGATTGTGATACTTCCAGTCTTATTCTTCTTTTTCAAGACTGTTTTGGTTATTTGGGGTCTTGCATGGTTCCATACAAATTTTAAGATTATTTGTATGGAATCACAAAATTTTAAGATTATTTGTTCTAGTTCTGTGAAAAATGCTGGTGGTATTTTGAAAGAGATTGCATTGAATCTATAGATTGCTGTGGGTAGCAGGAACATTTTAACAATATTTGTTCTTCCAATCCATGAGCATGGAATGTCTTCCCAATTCTTTGTGTCATCTTCAATTTCTTTCATCAATGTTTTATAGTTTTCAGAGTACAGGCTTTTCGCCTTCTTGTTTAAGTTCATTCCTAGGTATTTTACTGTTTTTAATGCAGCTGTAAAAAGGATTGTTTCCTTAATTTCTCTTTCTGCTGCTCATTATTAGTGTATAGAAATGCAATAGATTTCTGCACATTGATTTTGTATCCTGAAACCTTACTGAATCCATTTGTCAGTTCTAGTAGTGTTTTGGTGGAGTCTTTAGGATTTTCTGCATATAATATCACGTCATCTGTAAATAGTGACAGTGTTACTTATTTCTTACCAATTTGGATGCCTTTTATTTCTTTCTGTTTTCTGATTGCTGTGGTTAGGACTTCCAGTCCTGTGTTGAATAAAAGTTGTGAGAATGGACATCCTTGTCTTGTTCCTGAGCTTAGGGGAAAGGCTCTGTTTTTCACCATTGAGTATAATGTTAGCTGTGGGTTTTTCATGTATGGCCTTTATTATGTTGAGGTATGAGCTCTCTAAAACTACTTGGTTTAGGGTTTTCATCATGACTGGATGTTATACTCTGTCAAATGCTTTTTCTGCATTTATTGGAATGATCAGATGGTTTTTATCCTTTCTCTTATTGATTGATATATCATTTTAATTGACTTAGGAATATTAAACCACCCTTGCATAAATAAATCCCACTTGATCATGGTGAATGATTTTTTTAATGTATTATTGGATTCAGTTTGCTAATATTTTGGGGGGGATTTTTGCATCTATCTTCTTCAGAGATACTGGCTTATAGTTCTCTTTTTTTGGTAGTATCTTTATCTGGAAAGCAGTAAGTCTAGATTTTGGATTTTAGGATCAGAGGAGCATGGAGTTCAAAAAGACCCTTGGAGAAGCTTTCCATGCATCATGTCACATTCAGGGGAATAATGTCAGGCCCAGAGAAGCTGAGTTACTAAAGGAACATTATCTTGGGAGAGATGGTTCTAGAACTCATGGGTTTTATCTCTCCATTCACTTTTACTTCCACTTTATGACCTGGATTCAAGTCCAGGAACTCTGTCAGTTGACTTAATTAATTCCATTTAATCTAATTCATAAGATATTTTATAAGAAAGGTTATATACTAATTTCTAATGTGTTTATAATGAAATTATGAAAATCTTGCTCAGTAAGGATCATGTTTTGCTTTTCAGGAAAACTTGAGTATCATGTTTTACTTTACAGGAAAATTTGAGTATCAGTTTGAGAAGTAGAAAGAAACTTTGACTATAAGATTTGAATTTAGTTCATCTAAACTTCAAATCAATTTCAAGGAGCTCAATGTTTGATTATGCATTGTTCCCTTAGTTAAAGCCACCCTTTTATTTCTTCTTATGTGTAGGTTCTTTCTTGCTCAGTTGTTTGCTTACACACACACACACGCACGCACATGCGCACACACACACACACACACAGCACTCATTAAAACAGATAATGAGTCATTTATTTTTCATTTGGTATAATTGCCTGAGATGGCTTCATGGTATAATCATCAGACATTACAGGCCTGAAGAAGACAATGATAATCTTGGCATTCAGCCCATGTATTCCCCCAGTTTCTATTGCCTGCAAGATTTCTGTGCGTCAACAAAACCTGCACTTCCCCTCCTCCACCCTCCAATATCTGGGCTATGCATTTAGCAAATGGTCTTGTTATACAATCATATTTAACAGGATTAGGCTAGAACATTGAATTGTAGGGATTTCTGACTATCACAGCTGTTTCTTCTCTGAAATGCTTTCACTTAATTAATGTATACAAGATACTCCTCTGGCCAACCCTCATTTTCCAATCAGCACCAACACAGAGACCTGAATACATCCATATTTTAAATAGGAAAAGGAATTTTGGTGCCAGAAATGAATATACTCATGACTCCTATTTTTGTATGTGTACCAATGACAATATGCACGGTAAAAAATTGAAACAAATACTGAGTGTTCAAACTAGATTTAGGAAAATTATTCCAAATATTATTTCTATAATAGAATCTCTATATTTCTATAACAAAATCTCCCCATGTCTCTCCATTCTACCATACTTTTCTCATGTACTCTGGATCAAAATTCCAGAGTCATCCTTAGCATCTCTTCCTTACTCACCCCACCTTCTCTACCTTCCATCATGGCAAGTCATTACCAAGTCTTGACTATTGTTCATTTACATTATTACCTTAGTTCTTTCCTTTCAGTTGCCATCGTTATCACCTAGCTCAGGTCCAGTAAATGCCCTCAACTGCCTAAGGGCTTAAGAAGGAAGAACATTTTCCATCCTTGGCACCCAGTAAATCACAGTAGTGAGAAATGGGAGAAGTCCCTCATGCCTCATCTCCCACTTAGGGGTGGGAGGTTGGATGGGGTGAGTGGTGGAACTACATCATAGCAGGGCAATAACCTCCTGATATCAGAAGCCTCTAGGGAGGGTCCAGCAACAAGAATTTTATGAGTGCATCTCAACCCAACAGAGTCTCCAATATCAGTGTTCATCTGGACTGGGAGAAGCAAATATGGTGTTGTAAATTAAGAATGGGGGCCATGGAAATTAAATAAGCAAAAGAAAATAATGTCAACTAGTGTGCGTAAGAAAAGAATACCTCCAAAATACAGTCTTGTTTTAAAACTTGATTGGAGGGCTGCCATTTTTTAAATTATGTTCTGTGTAATCCCATTTTAACTTAAACACATCATCTCATTTCATATTATAGCAACAATGCTATTTTGTCTTTATACCAACTTCCTATACTTAATTTCACAGATAAGGAGACTGAAGAGAGATTGGGAAATTGTCTTATGCGTATACAGCTAGGAAACTGTGGAGTCCATTTTGAAACCCATTTTGTGCATCTCCAGAATCCAAGAATGTGGCTTTTCAACAGTTTATGTGGCCCAATATGTCTGTGAAGTAAAGTAGCTTTGAGTCTGTTCATGTCAATCAAATGGATTTCCTTTTTTGTTCTAAGCCATTTCATAACATTTTGTAAAAAATCTTTTCCCAACTTAGAAAGTGCAAACACACATAACGCAGTGAAGGAAGTATTGTTAGCTCCATAATATCAGGTAAGGAAATGGAAGCTCAGAGAAATCAAGTAATTTGTCCATTGCCACACAGCCCATCTGTGATGGATGGGAATCTTAACCTGGGCAGTCTTATTTCCCTTCACCTGCTCCCAGCCACACTGCTAACTTTAATAGGTTATTTTTACACTGCTTTGATATTTCCCAAAAAGAAGGAAGTAGAGTGTCATCTAACCTTACCCTATAAACTCTCTTGGGGCACACATACATACACACAAAATACACATGCATACATACACATGTATGTACATATAAGTGTGAGTGTATGTATGTGTGCATGAGAAATATTAAAAAATAATATTCTAGTGGATATGAGCTGTATCTATCTTCTATGCAGTAGATGGTATAGTAGTAATAATTGCTATAATTGCAATAATGTTAGCAATATAATTGGTCCCATGCCTGCTTTTTGGTAGAATTCTTTTTCCCTAAGACAAGGAAACTAAGTGTCTGGTCCTGCTCAAATACAGAACATCTGTAACTTGCAGAAGGGATCATGTGACAAAGAGTAAATGTAAATCAAACCACCTTTTACATGTCTGTGCTTTTGGTTATTTCAGGTACTAGGTGACCTGATTTCTAGTCAGTCTGGCAGATGAAACAGCTGTAATTCACAATAAATATACATCAAACATCACAATCAACCTTTTTCTTTCTTCCTGCAAAAGGCAGCTGGCTTGTATCAAAAACATGTAAAGAATACTTGCTGCTATCTAACCAATGGGGCATCATATGCACCCCGCCATTAACATAGGTAGGTTTCATAGCAGTGTGCCCAGAAGTGGATAGGTGGCAGGTGGTGAGGACCAGCAGTGTTTCAGCTCCAGAGTTAGCATATTGCAGTTTTGCCGACTCAAAGAGACTATCTACAATTTATCTCAGTCCCAAATCCTAAGGAAAGGAATCTTATAGGCTCTGAGGTAAAGGGTGACATTTTCCAAAGAAAGTAGGGGGTGATTCGTGGACTGTGCAAGGATCCCAATAAATATCCACTATCATGCCCTGGCAAAACAAAACAAAACAAAACAAAACAAAATGGCCCTATGAAATAAGAATAGTAGTAAGAAGTGAAGAAAATAATTGAGAAGAAAAATATTTTGTTTCCTGGTGGGAAAGGGAGGGGTTATTTTATCTGCCTTTATTTTTTAAAGATTTTATTTATTTATTTGACAGAGAGATAGAGCCAGAGAGCACAAGCAGGGGAGGCACAGAGGGAGAGGGAGAAGCAGGCTCCCCGCTGAGCAGGGAGCCTGAGGTGGGGCTCGATCCCAGGACCCTGGGATCATGACCTGAGCTGAAGGCAGACGCTTAACCGACTGAGCCACTCAGGCATCCCTTTATCTGCCTTTAAATGCTCGTGAAAGTCACTCAGGAATCATGCACAAAAGCCCTGGGCTGTCCACGGTTAAGCTGGGCCTTCGCCTTTACAAGGGAAAAGCTTACATGTGATGCACCGTCCTGAGAACGGGCTTCTTTCTAGGAAGTGGGCTCTCTGGCAGGAGAGGAAAGAAACCCTTACCTGGGTAATCATTCTTGTCTATGTCTGAGTCTCCTCTTAGAGTAAAGCCGAAGCCCGAAGGGATGGTCTGTGAGGCCCACACTCCCTGCAGAGTTTGGGAAGGCTTGGTGTTTAAGCCATCCTTGTTCCCGTTGTAAATGAGCACTTTGCCTCTTTGATCCTTGCCTGCAAAGGGTGCTCCGATGGCAATGTCTGCAAATGGGGACACATGAACATGTTTTTTAAGGAAAGAAGGTTTTAGAGATAGAATTAAGTGCAGTCTTAACCTAGAATCCTTCTAGTAACCTAGAATCCAAAGGGCTCATTAAGTTTGCCAGGAAAATTTCGTAATACTGCAGCAACCATAAATTATTTGTTGTCTTTTATCCATCCAGCAAATATTTATTGAGTGACTGCTGTATATGCTGGATGCAGTGGGTATGACAGCAAACCAGATGCTGCTTTTAGAGTTTATGTTCTAGGGCAGGTAGTAGACAATTTGAATAGAGAGACAATCAAGAAAAGATGGAGAGGAACCATGAGAGACTATGGACTCTGAGAAACAAACTGAGGGTTCTAGAGGGGAGGGGGTGGGGGGATGGGTTAGCCTGGTGATGGGTATTGAGGAGGGCACATTCTGCATGGAGCACTGGGTGTTACGCACAAACAATGAATCATGGAACACTGCATCAAAAGCTAATGATGTAATGTATGCTGATTAACATAACATAATAAAATAAAATGAAAAAGATGGAAAGTGACACATTCTATGCAGAAGAATCAAAAATATTAATGTAATGGAGAGTGGTGGTTATTTCCAGATTCGGTGATTGGACAGGGTGTTGCTAAGGCTCGTGTTGAAAGTGAAAGCTGGGGACAAAATGGAACCAACTGTGTGAAATCAGAGGGAAGAGCACTCCAGGCAGAAAGAACTGGTGTGCCAAGGTCGAAAGGTCGAAAAAGCTGGGCCCATTGGAGGAGCAGGGAGAGCGTGGTCTACACAGGAACTTAGCGAGAAACAGGGAGGGCTGGGTCACATCAGTAGACTGGATAAAACAGGGGAGGCACCTTTGCAAGGTACTTATGAGTTTCTTGTCAAAAGAAATAAACAATCTCTTGTACAAAGATTATATAATGTAATGATTACATTGTCCCATGAGGGAGGCAGGATGCATTTTACAGTAGAGGACATTGGGGAACCTAGAAAGAACCCTATCCCCTGACTCCCACTTAAATAGAGCACTCAATGAAAAGTAACTTCCACACATTGTGCTCTTCAGGATTGTTTTAAACAATACACACAAAGACTGAGTTTTACATAAAAAAGAGCACCAAGAACACAATAACATAATAGCTCACCCAGTGGACGACAGTTATGTGTCCTCACTTTGTCGTTTATTTCTCTTTGCTCCTAAGTAAGTCTGATAAGACTAAGTAAATCATGAATTGATTTTACTATATAATTAGGATCATAAATCCAGTTTCATTTAACAGGTAAAGATAAATATCTCAAATCTCAGATCATGGTGGAAATTAAAGATATCATCATGTGACAGGTGCAAAGGGGCCCTTCCTTCACCTCCTCTAAGTCAGTCCACATCTGTCCCGTGTTTCCTCCCAGTTTGGAATTATTTTGCCCACTTTATACTCAAAAACAGTGAGGCTCAGAAAGGCAGAACCCCCTTAATGTCATTAAAAATGTTTCTCTTAGCTTTCAAAAATATCATGAAGGGTTTGAGAAAAAAGACAAACAGAGTAAAATATGGTGGAAAAGATGACTTGATAGATAATTTAGCATTATTTATTTCGCTTGGTGCTCAGGGATAGGGCAGTTTCTGAAAGCAGCATATCAGTTAAAGATGAACTTGTCTCTTTTTTATTATTTTCCTGGAACCATGAACTTTTAATATACATTTATGTTTTATGGTACTTTAAAAATTACTAACCATACATTTCTGGGATGTCTTTTTTCAAAGAAAACATAAAATGCCAAAAGCACTAATGAATACTGATCTGATGCAAACACTCCCTAGGCTATTTTGCTGGAGCAAATTCCTGTTACTCCCTTGAACTTTAAGAAACCCATTATACCTTGCTTCTTAATTTAAAGGTCCTGAACACGTATGCAAAACTTTGTGTGAGCTTGCATGTTTTTCTGAGAAGGTACTTGCAAGGCATTCACAAATTCTTAGCTTAAAGAATCATAATCCTAAACTAAAAATTTAACACTACTTTATTGCAAACATTGAAGTTGCCCTTAAGCTAAAGTTTACAGACCAATTAAAATTCAGCATAACCTATACATAGTCCATGTGGGTTAATCACAAGGCAATATACTTGTCCATATCTCGACATGTATTTATTTGTCTTGACTCTGTACATAACAGAAGGTTTTCTAGTTTTCTTTGAGTCACTAAATCTGAATATCACTTTAAAAAATAATTGCTGCCTTTATTTAGAGCTGCATATATAAACTTTAAACTGCCTTGAGGTTTTTGATACTTTATTAAAAACCAGTAATAGTAACCGTACCACACACACCACTGTAAATACTTTAAGATGTCATTGTTTCCTTCACGTACCGGTAACATGAATTATGACAAATAAACAATTTCCATGTATTGGTGTCAATTACCATTGTATCCATCTTGGTTCAGGTCTCCTAAGTGTGCCACAGCACTACCGAATCTCCCAAAAACCTCGGTTCCTGCAAGGATCTGCGGGTCCCTGAAGACAAGCGCGCTCACTTGCAAATACAGGTAAACTTGCCCTACTTCTCTAGGGCTGCTCTCAAATTCACGTTCCATAAAGAGAGGTGCCCCGATCAGTACGTCATCCATTCTGTACGGAACAAAGAGAGAGGTCAGAGCACTGACAGACCTGAGATTCTTTGGGGTACACTTTTAATCAACTAGATTAGTATATTTCCTTGGTATTTTTCCTTTCCCAGGAAAATGAGTATTTTACAATCACCGTATTTCTTTCATTGCTGTCTCTGGGATAGAATGTTGTAAGAACATTGTAGGTTCATTGTTACACTGAACTTCTTTTTATAAAAAAAGATTTATTTATTTGAGAGAGAGAGAGTGTGTGTACAAGTGGGAGGAGGGGCAGAGGGAGAGGGGAAGCAGACTCCACACTGAGTGGGGGGAGCCTGATGTGGGGCTCGATCTCACCATCCTGAGATCACGACCTGAGCCAAAACCAAGAGCTGGATGCCTAACTGGCTGAGCCACCTGGGCGCCCGTACACTGAACTTTTAAACTATGTTACAATGACTACTTTAAGAAAACCACAGATACTTCACCATTTTCAAAAGCTTCTTAGTGCATTTCTGGAAAATGTAGCTATACAAGTAAAACATATCAAAAAAGATTTTTCTCAAAGTGGATTAGAGTTTGTCTACAACAATAGAACTATACCCTTAAATTATGAAGTTTTCTTTCAGGAATAAGGTTTAAAATAAATTTTGCCTCCTTCTGTCCTCTTGTTACCTTCATTTAAATAAAACAGAGGCCAGAGAGGGCCTCTGAAATATAGAAAGGGCCAGAGGCCTAGAAATATAGAAAGTAAATTTTCCTCCCAAATAAGACTTGATAGTTATTCTTTATAAATGTAGATATTATAGTGGGAAACTAGTAGATAATTTTTAAGGTTGAAAAAAATTCAAGAAACAAATGCCTATGCAAGTTATTTAGAGATAAATTATAACCACCAGGAGAACAAAATCCAAGTGGGTAAAGGTGTTTTCTTCCCAGAACCAATGGGCACGAAGAGGAATAGAACAGAGCCTTCTAAGCTATTTGAGTTCTTAAAAACGTATGCATGTATCATTTTTTTTTTAGAAATTTTGGAAAAAGTCACATCAACCAAAATTCATAATTTAATTGATCGATACTAATGACCTCTGCAGACACCCCTATCTTGGGAGATGCAAAAATCTGAAGAGTGATCTCATGCATAAATAGAAATTTGCACTTGACTTTTATGCCTATATAGATTAGGTAACATGCAGAAGCTTGCCAACTAAACTAAAAATATTACCATTCATCTAAAAGGCAGGGACAAGGGGGGCAGTTACTGAGAACACAAAACCTCCTTTAAGGTCTGAGACATCTGCCAGACACTCCAACAACACTCTGAACTGCCTCTCTCTCCAACTTCTTGCCTTCCCTGTAGTGGTCATCTAGTCTCCATTTCCCTGTATGATTCAAGAGACATTCGGTGTAACAATTGTATTTAAGATACTGTGATAAGTGAGTCAAGGAATATAATGACTATTAGGTCAACCCTGTTCCTAAGGAACGTACAAGAGAGGTCAAATTGCCACTCATTTACCTATAGACAAGGCAGGGTGAAAAAAAGCATATGAATAATCCAAAATGAATCCTAGAGAGAGAGCTGGAACTTCGAGAGAGTTAGGGAAGGCTCTTGGAGGAGATGGCATTGCACCTGGGTGGGATTCTGACAGGTGGTTCTGGAGGCAGGCTTGCCAGGTGGCAGGGTTCTGAGCCCAAAGCAAGCGTTTCCGAGTGGAGTCAGGGCCAGTGAGTGGTCCAGGTGGGCTCCATGCTAGAGGGATGCCAATGATTTTAATTGGAAAAGCAAACCATGCAAAGAATTCTTAAAACTTAATAATATGAAATAGCAATAATAATAATACATAACAGTAACATATAAAATATGATACTATTATACATTACATAACATATATTATCATTGTTATACATAATCAATGTTAAATATATATAATATATGTTAGGAGCAATAAGAAAACAACCCAGTTAAAAACTGGGCAAAGATTTGAACAGACACCTCATCAAAGAAGATTTATGGATAGCAAATAAGCATATAAAAAGATTCTCAATATCATATGTCATTAGAGAATTGGAAATTAAAACGAGATATCGCTAAAAATCTATTGGAATGGCTAGTATCCAAAATGCTGACAGCACCAAATGCTGGCAAGGATGTGGAGCCACAGGAACTCTCATTCACTGCTGGTGAAGAGGCAAAATGGTCCAGTCGCTTGGGAAGACTGTATGGCAGTTTCTTACAAAACTAAACACAGGTTTACCGTATGAGGCCATAATCACACTCCTAGGTAGTTACACAAATGAGTTGAAACTGATGTCCACACAAAAACTTGCAATTGCCAAAATCTGGAAGCAACCGAGATATCCTTCAGTAGATGAATGGATAAATAAACTGTGCGACATTATATAACAGAATATTACTCAGCAATAAAAAGAAAATAAGCCACAAAATGACAGGGAGGAACTTTAAACCCCTTTTTGCTAAGTGACAGAAGCTAGTCTTAAAAGTCTACATACTGAAGGATTCCAAGTTTATAACGTTCTGGAAAAGACAAAACTAAACAGATCAGTAGTTGGAGGGAATGAGGGGAGGGGAGAGAGATGAATAGATGGAGCACAGGGTGTTTTTAGGGCAATGAAGATATTCTGCATGATACTGTACATGGATACCTGATATTATGCATTTGGAAAAACCCACAGAATGTATAAAAGGAAGAGTGGACCATAATGTAAGCTGTGCACTTTTGTTAATAATGTATCAATATGGGTGGATCGATTGTAACAAATGTACCACACCAACTCAAGATGGTAGTAATAGTAGAAACCGATGGTGGAGGGGAGGAGGAGGGAATATATGTGAACTCTCTGTAATTCCTGCTCAAGTTTTCCATAAACCCAAACTGCTCTAAAAAATACAGCCTACAAAAAAAATAAAGATAACTGGAAAAGTAAATTGAGTCCAGACGTATGAGAAAAGCATGAGTTTTGACGTTATACTGATTTAGATTTAAAACCTGGCTCTTTTAGTAACTAGTTGTGTCCTATTGAACAAGTTACATTACCGAAAAAATGTGAACGTAGAAATAGGCTACTTTATTGGATACATCACTGAAGATCTCCCTTGGTCTCTGTCTCCATCTCTGTCTCTCTTTGTGTGTTTCTCTTTCCAAATGTGCACGCACACGCATACACACAGGTCATACTACAGTATTTAATACATGATAGGTATTATGAAGGCCCTGGCCCAGGTGTTGAAGGGAACACACAATATTTTTACATCATAGCAATGTAAGCAGAAAGAGCTCCCGTTAAAAAAGCAAAATGTATCCCCCTTCTCCCTCTCCTACCTTGTAGGAGCCAGAAACATGGGGAAATGTGACTTTGGGATCATCTGGGGCTGCTAGCTACTTCTAATAGCCTCTTACTTGTCTCCCACAGCAGGAGACCTAACACATGGTTTCTAGCTAGAAACACTTTAAGTGTTACTTGGCCAACTTGTAATAAGGAAAGGGTGGTTATAGATAGACCTCAGGAATGGTTATTTTTTTTCTGTTCTTTTTTAAAAATTTTATTTTAATTCCAATATTGGTAACATACAGTGCTATATTAGTTTCAGGTGTACAATATAGTGATTCAACACTTCTATCCACCACCTAGGGCTCATCATGACAAGCACATTCCCAGAGGTGGGTAGAGGGCTGGGAAAATAGGAATGGCCATTATTTTGATCTCAAATTCCAGAACCTAAGTTGGATTGCCATGCTTAGGTAAAACATTTTCTTAAAAATCTTACAAGTAACTTGATTAAAAAAAAAAAAAAGTTCCATTGCTTGCCATCCTGCTGTGCTCCAGGACCAGAAGAGAGCAAGGATTGGAGTTATTTACACCCCTGGCCTTCCCCTCACAGGAACCCGGTTGCTTCTCCTTCTGTTATAATTATTGCCAGTGTCAAGAGGCATTTGTTAAACACCTAATTGTGTGTGTTGCTGCCTTGTACTTCAAAGATGTCTGAAATTGCTGGTCTCTATTGTAGAGATGGAATGGGGCCATTTTCTCCTTCTATAAAGAAGGAACAAGCCGTATAATTGGTCCCCGAGGGTGCAAACATGATTCAGCACTGACATGGTTTGCTCTCTACATTTCTCACTGCCAACACCGAGTTCTAGGAATGGAAAATTACTCAACCCATCATTGTGAGAGCCTAGCACGTCCACGGAACTTTTGGATTCTTGGAGGATTATGACAGCATTGATTTATTTTGTTAGAAATATATTTCCCCAGATATTTAAGTGTAAGTCTTCTAAAATGTTCTAAATGCCATAAAAACAGAGAAAGACATTTGTTTTTCATTTATAATTGTGTTTCCCATAAGGTTGAAAGACAATAACTCTTGGATTTAATTGGTACAATGTGCCTTATAGAATACTTTGCACTTAGTGTCAATATTATTTTATTATAGCAATACTACTTAAGAGCCACAATATATATTGTTTAGGCTGCTGTTTTTAAACCTTGGTTTGCAACACATTAGTGGATTGTGAAATCAATTCAGTGGGTCTTGACAAGCAATTTTAAAAAATGAAATAGAAAAGAACAGAAAATAGAATGAATACATTATGTGAGGGTAAATATTGTTCCCTGAAACTTTTGTTTCAGTTCTATGTGTGTGTGCCGGGTTGCAATGTCAAATGTATTTCTTATTATGGACCACAAGCAAAAAAAAAAAAAAATCCCTGAGAAACCATTGCAGTAGGCTATGCGTGCTATTGGACTGTTTCAAAATTAGTTTGCCAAATCCTGGTTTTGAATGTGCCCAATCCAAGTTTAAAGTTTTAAAATATTTTATTAGTAAAGGTATTTTTCACTGACTTTCTGATACATAGTTGTGTAATAGGTTGGGTACCATTCTAAGGGAATATTATATATATCAATGTATATATATATCATATATATATATACCCAGCCTGTATGGTTTTGTAATCTCAAAAAATTAATGATGAAGAAATATTATTATTATTAATGACG